CCCCCTTCCTTTTTTCCTTCATCCTCGCGTTCCAACTTCCTTTGCAACCCATGATTCACCTCCATCTTGTCTTTTATTTTTTTGGCCTCTTATAATCATCATCAGTTTCTTAATCATGTTGTGGGATATAAGTTTCTTCTTTTTTTAAGAAGAACAAGTAATGGTTTTTTTTTCCTTTCTTTGTTAGCATGTATTTCATTGAAGGAAGCCGCTGCATTGATGAGGTCATTTTGGTCAACAATGATGGGACTATCACCTTTGATTTCACCAATGGGTTTGTTCCGCATTCTCATAGACTAAATCCTTCTCTTTTGCCCCGCTATTTTACAACTGCTAGACCCATGAATCTTTCTTTACTGACTCCTGGGCCGTGGCTAACTTACTACGGCACAATCAACTGCTTCTCTACCGACGGAATAATAAAAGTCTTAGCTCACACCTCATACTGGCAGGATGATTGCCCCTCTTTCATGCACTACCACGGTGCTCCTCAAATCACAGGAAATATTAGGATTAACTGGATGGTGCACGTAAGTCACTCCTTAGACATACCAATAGTCCACAACCCAAGCCATGGAGTGTGCAAAGTTTCTTTCATGTATTTTATCAAAGGATGTTGACAGCTTGCAGAGCCCATTTCAGTCAAGAAGGATGGGACTATCAGCTTAACATTTGTCCATAACCTTGTTCGCTGTGTTAATTGCTTGAATTGTTCCAATTTGCCCTGATATACTGTAGTCGCTAAGCCCATGAGGCTTGCTATGCTGGTTCCAGGGCCACAAATGTCATATTGAAACATTTATTCCTCACAGACAAGGACAATGGAGTGGACTCAGGAGAGACTGTAATGAATGAATGATATCTAGATTTGTTGAAACAACAAATGTACTTTTTTGTCAAGAATTTATTAGTCCATGACATAGAAAACATAGTTGTTGTGATTCAAAAGGCGGCAAAGCCGCCCCTAGACACTAGTTGCTGTTATTAAAGCCTCAAAATTCCCCAAGAAACTCAACAGTTATCACACAGCACCCAAAATCAACCTTTCTGAGCGCTTCCAACTGTCAAGTTTCCACATTGAAGATCTTCAAGACCCCATAGGATTATTACTAGTAAGTAATAACCCTTTTTCTTGAGATTTTCCCCTTAAATTCTTCCTGGGATTTAAACCACACCTGTTCACAGGCCCCAGTGTTCAGGTACTAAATCCTCTGCTTTTGCATGATACCTAGAAGGGATTAAACCACCCTGGATTATCAGCCCTCTGTTTATTTATATATTTATAAATATAAATGGGCACCTTTTGGAATTAATCCATAATTATTTCCTTGAGTTTTTACCATAAAAACTCTTAGTTTTTGCCCTTTGTGTAGCTAGAAGACACTTGTCTTGCATCACATAGGGCTGACAACACTGATACTTTGATTTGATCACTTTCAGGATCACACATCAACTTACCGTGTTCTTGGCATCATTGGCAAAAGACTACTTAGCCTCCTCGGGATCTTCCTGTACAGCGGAACGTATCTTTTCTTCAGCGTCTGATGTCTGCTCAAGTGGTCGAGGTAGCTTGAAACCACGTACTATTGAAAGATGTGTCAGCAGTCACATGTGGCTGAAAGAGGGTGTTAGAGTTTCAGGAGACTTTGCAAAAGCAAAAAGTACTGTTATCGCTTTCAATGATTTTGTTAAAAAAGTAATTTCTTTCTTTTTTTTCAGCTTCAAAAATGGTCAATTCTTTCTTAAAATCTTCAAAAACCTATCCAAACCAATTAAACCACGAAAAATTAGAAAATTTCTTCACAATTTCCCTAACCTGAGGCACCTTCATAGACCTTAAGTCTTGGACCCTCAGCCAAAACTTGCCTCTGCCTCGTCCTCCTCTCCTTTTATACCCCAAAGTCTACCCCTCCTCAACTCAGCCTCACTCCTTCCACTCATTGTTTTGCTCCAACAATGTGCCTTACCCCCTTTGTTCCTACACTCGACATGAGCTCGATTCTTTCACCTCCCAATTCCGTAAACCATTTTATCTTTCCCATTTCCTTAATCTGGAACCACAGCCAAAACTTGCCATTTTATAACCTAAATTCTACCGCTCCTCAACTCAGGTTCTCTCTTTTCTCTGATCACCTCGCTCCGACAATGTTCCTTACCCCTTTGTTCTTAGTTTCGACATGAGCTTATTCCTTTATATACCAATTCCGTAAACGGTTCCTCTTTTCCATTTCCTTAATTCAAGTCTTGTTCTATTTTAGGTGCAAAGAACCTTTGCCTGATTGCCCTGCACCTAACCCGAGTCCTAAGCTTCTGCCTCAGCATTGCCATATCAGGTATCTCCTCCTCTTACCTATTTTTGTTCCCCTATCTCCCTCATATTACTCCTCTTCCAAGTTCCCTCGACTATCCTCTTCCTCAAAATTCACTTGCTCGAATAGGCAGATCCAATATATGTTATGCTTTCTAACTTCAGCCACACCTCATATTCCCCCAAGTCTGTGCAAATGACTCTACCCACATCAACGTTTGTCTTTTCCTCATCATTTTTTCAGATATGTATCTCCCCTGACAACTAAGTACTTATTGCCTTTTTCATTCTCTTCAGTCTAAAGACTTGATTTTGTCCATCGATGAGACTAAGCGCAATCAATTTTTTCCTCAATTAAAAATCACCTCTTGAATCTGGTTCACTGGCACCGTTTCCAGGATTGAACCCAACTTCATTCTTGTCATGGTACATCATGTAATTGTTCCCCTGACGCTTGTGACACTTCACCTATTAACACAATCTCGCTCTCTCCTCGCTAGGTTGACCATATAAGCTACACCTCCCCCTCTTTGTGACTCTCTTGTTTCACTTCCTCAAGATGTTACCTCAATCACTAAACCCGTTGTTGACCAAAAAGCCTTCATCTTTTTTCTCTGACTTCTACATATTTGTTCCTTGGACCCTACCTGAATTGAAGGATATCAACGATACTATACGATCCTTGTATATAGCCTTGACATAAACTCATTTCTTCTCAATTCAACTGTCCCTCTTGTCTTGCGCCTAGCCTTGTGTGAAAATTTGACCTGGCCCCACTCAATTCAATCCTCCTCATTCAACCATTTCGTGAATCAAAACTCACCTTATCCTTATCTGCAGAATTTTACAACGGTTTGTTGAAGGGCAATACATTGGACCTTCTGAAGGTATGAAGACTTATTCAAATTTTTTTAATCATGGCTAACTAATTTTCAATGAACAGCGGCCTACCACTTATTTCAATTCCCCATGAATGGTCGATCGCCCTCGGCTCAAAGGATATCCCTCCACGTAGACAAGTAACAACATATCTATTATCTTGACTCTGATTTATTAAAAAAATCCTTCAATTCAGCCAAGGCAGAGCGAACAACCTTAACTGAATATTTCGAAGTGTGTAAGACTAATATCTCAGGCTTAGGGGTTAGAGCAAGAGATTGTCTTTATGAGGATTTGCCTAAGTACTTCTGGTGGACCGACGACAAGAGATGGGCACCTTGTTTAAGTGTTTCAAACGCTGTCGCTCAGATATATTTTGCAGCGATTTCGGAAGGCGAGCGATACTTTCTTCGCCTTCTGCTTGCACACAGGTCCGTTCCTGTTGGATATCAAGATCTAAGGACTGTCCAAGGGAGATAGCATCTTAAGTTTTGGGCAGCAGCTGAATCCATGGGCCTCTTAGCCTCAGATGAACATTAGGAAACTGCTATTCAAGAGGCTTTGTGTTGGATGATGGGCTCAGCTCTAAGGGCAATGTTCTGCATTATCCTTGTTCATTCGCCTCCGTCTAACCCAGACCGCTTACTGCTCAAGTTCTTAGACGACTTTGGGGACGATTCTAAGTACATCTTAACAGGATATCGGCGACAGACACTTCTCTCTGCTGAATACATAAGGTCTTTTACTCTATTCCAAATACAACAACAGCTGAACAAATGTCAAAAAACCTTCTCAGACGTTGGTTTGTCCAACCCTGATGAAGAAAGGTGGCACTGTTCCCATCTTTTATTCAATCTCAATTGTGCTCTTTTTACAATCCGGAAGAGGATTTCAGATGTGGTTCCGGTTGCTTAACCCTGATCAGTTATATATTGTAAAAGAGGTCTTAAAGTTGAATGGAACCTCTCAAGGATGGAGATTTATATTGACGGGCCTGGGGGAACTGGGAAAACACATCTCTTGAATACTTTAATCTCCTACTTCAATTTTAAAACTATTAAAATAGCCACGGTAGCATCCTCAGGCATAGCTGTTGTAAATCCACTCGGATGTCAGGTACATCCAACCTCCTTCCATCATACTCAACCTCATTCAACTCCTCATCTCAACATCTCCAATGCTGGTACTCATTGCTTTCATACTAACTCAACAACCGTTCCCAACATTCAGGCCGAACTCATTCATCAACATCCTTTCAAACAGAATCAGCGATCGGAAAACTGAGCACAGCAGTTTAAAACCCCTTTCAAACTTTCTTAACTCATTTCCTCTTTGTCGACTGTGTCTTTTTCTACATGCTTCTGAATATCCTTTGTACACTACTATACATGACTGCCTCCAAATATTTGTACATATTTATAGCGCTGCCTGACTGCTCTGGATTGGTTTTCTCTCATCATCATCTAATTACACGGAATTCAAAGTTATACATTCCTCTTCATTCACAGTCACTAACTCGCCACAGTTAAACTCACATCTCACTTGTGCCACGCACTTCTCTCTCTGCACCTCGTGCATACTGCCCTCGCTAGAGGTTATGAGCCCAGCTGCAAATATCTTCAATTACTGCTTAAGACTTTGCTATACCATAACGATAGTTATCCTATACTTCATCCTCCGTAACTTGTTCACTACTCTCATAGTTAGAATCGACAATCTCGAACGACAACTGAAAAGCTTCCAAGAACTAGTTAATGCCAAGATCGAACTCGGTCTCTAAAAATTACCTCACGCCACCATTCCACCCAACGAAATGGCCAACAACACCTTGAATCCTCTTAACCCATCCATCAACCTAATCCCTAAACTCGAAGACACCAACTTCTTCGAATGGAAAAGAACAATCACCGGTCACCTTACCGCAATGGGAAAACTCAAATACATCAACAGCAAAGTAGCTAGACCAGAAGACGATGCCGCCGCTGAGACTTTCGTTCAAGAACGCGCGCAAGTATTGCAAGCCATCCGACTGACTATCAGTAAAGAGAATCGCTCTGCTATAATCCACTTCGACGATCCCCACTGCGCATTCAAAGCCCTTGAAGAAAAGCACGGCAGCAACAATGCTTTTATGATTGCCAGCACCATCGCTGTGGTAGTCAAAAATGTGAAAATTCAAAGTTTTTTCTTTCTTTTTTTTCCTTATATATATTTTCTTCATATTATCACCCAATCACTCTCAGAATTCACACCATACGGCTCAAGAATTGGACTCTACGGACAAATTCACCCTTGGTCACCACGGAGGCGTCACTGGAACACACCTGGATCAACTCTTACCCAACACTGGACAACATATCACAAGGATTTCACCCATCATGTCAGCCACAGAGTACATGTCACAGTACCTTTCATGTACCAAGTAACTGCAACACCTGTACTTATGTACATAAGTACTTATCCATAATGTTGATTACCTTTACCTCTTGTTATCTTATCTTTATTATTAACTTATCTTATTTATCTTATAGTTATCTTATCTGTTAATTACTTATCTATTAAATACATACCTGTGTTCTACATAAGTAATTATCACTTACCTTTCACTCCCTTGTCCGTGAAATACCTGTACCACAAGTTATCCCTCTGCTACAGTATTTTCACGGTCAAATATTATTACAAATAAATATGTACATGTATTAAATAGTAAGTATTAAGTGTCAATAGAATTAATACATTCAATACATGCACTGATCACAATTATGACTACATTATTAGAGGATCTGTCAAGTGCAAGCATCAAGAGCAACTAGTACATTGATCAACTAGTACACAATTATGATGTCACTTACAGATCATGACAAATAATGATCAGTCACTCAATTGATGTGCTCATTCTCCTGGCCAAAGCTCCCTTGATTCTGAGCGCTCATTCTTTCCCCCCTTCAGTATTCTGGAACTTATAATCCGTGCCTCTTTCACTGATTAATCCCCAGAATATTCAGACACCAGTTAAAACAGTTAACATTTATATTGCTACAGTACACGTAACCAACATAAATCTAGTCTACATTTATTGTTCTTAAGCTACAGTACACTTACTCAACTTATCCACAGTATTCATAGCCTTGCTGAATATTCCCATCAACAATACCTGTTAATCTTCAACTAATTTTGTTAAAGCTTAATAAGTATTGTTAGCCCATTCCCTTTTGGGAATAACCAAATCAATCCCAGGTGAGTCTTAGTACCCTGGATGCCTATTAATACCCTGTATTGATCCGGATGCACTGTTGATAGCAAGCCTCTCAGTAAAGACCATACTGATAGAGTGAAACCTCCTCTTTACAGGACTGGTATTAATCACCCACTACCTAACACTCACCACGCTCAAAAACTTCAGTCAACTCATAGTAACAACCTTTTTACTATTAAATACTCAGGTTAGTTACCCAGAGGCTGACACATCATTACATATCACCAAACCCAATTACAACCCTCAAGCTACACAGACACCCTCAGTACAGTACACACTCATTTACATATACACTCATTTACATACTTCTACACTCTTTACATTTCACTTCTACATATTACATCATACCTGCAGCCTAAATTAGTGTATTTTCCATGCATGACAGCTGCAGCTTACACCACCACACTCACTTGTAAACACATCAGAACCTGACCAATCAGAATCACTCATTCAGCTGTTTGGATCACCACTTCAACTCTTGTACATGTCTGACCAATCACATTCACTCATTCAAATTTTGTATGTAGCTAAAAATACCTCATGTAATAGCCCAGGCCAGCCAAAATCACTCATTACTGGCTGCCCTGGAGCTAAATTCCCTCACTGTTGTATATATAAGGAGGCTCTCCTCCCAGTTGTTTAATCCTCAGTCAAGTAACACTCAAGCAATATTTGACCACCTTACACAAACACTTTAAACGCGCCAACCAAAACCAAATCAACAAACTCTTCATCACACAAACTCATTCCTGAACTTTTACCCTATCACTTGATTAAAACTTTCCAAGCTAAGCTTGGTGGGTCTTGTTATCTGATAGTATAGAAGGGCAGAGTCTTCACTCCATCATCCCCTTCTCCATTCAGCAAAAAGGGTCTTACAACCACTTCTTGAGTCTTACATCGCTGACATAGTCCACCTACGCTTCGAAGACACCTCTTCCCTGGACGACTACTTGGCTCAAATTCGCTCACTCCACAACAGACTCAACGATATGACTAAAGATAACGAAGCCTTTCAGCTTCCGGACAACGTACTCGCTATCTTCATGATCATTAATCTCCCCATGGATGAATTCAGACACATTATCCAGTCGTTGTTCTCTCACAAAACGGTCAGCGTCAAACAAGTCATCAGTCGACTCAACTCCGAAGCTGCTATGATGAAGTCGTCCACGGCAAAGGAAACCGCGATGTACGGATTCAAGAAATCAAAACCCTCGAATCGATCAACCGGTCCCACAACCAATAGATGCACCATACACAAATTCAGCTCTCACACCAATGCGGAATGCAACGCGCAGAAGAAGACCGGACCGAAATCTTCCCAAAACACGGCACGTTTTCCATCTGCCAACATCGCCTCAGAAGCTCCCGAGATTCCGGCTGAAGAAAGCCCCGAATTAGCTTCCCTAATGATCGAGAATGCGTACGTAGTCGTTCACAACCCGGAACTCGACTACTATTCTTTCTCCGGTCACTTCATAGCCGACTCAGGCGCAAGCATCCACCTTGTCAATGACTACAACATGCTGATCAACCCGGAAAAATGCGAGCCTCGTTTGATTAACACTGCTAAATCGGGAACTCAAGTCCGCGTCGACACTAAAGGAAGCGTTCGTGTTCTTGCTCTAAACCACCTCAACCAAAAAGTTTCCATCGACATCCCCAACGTCTTTTACTGTCCAGACCTTGCCGCCAATCTTCTGTCCATTAAACAGATAATCAAATCAGGTGCCGATGTCTCGTTCCTCAACAATACCATGACCATCGAATTCAAGAACGAAGATGTCCACATAAAATCTGTAACACTAGGAAACGAGTTGTGGATGGTTAGTATCGCCAGACCCCGAAAAACAGAATTCATTGGACTATGTGCTAACATCTGGCATGCTCGGTTCGGCCACCCATCAACAGGTACCCATCGACAGTACCGTGTGGATGGAAGTCAACTCACCGACAAGCCCTCTCTTTGTGCACACTGTATAAAGGGAAAAATCCAGTGGAAACCTTTCAAGTCCCATCTTCCCATTTCTTCTCTTCCGTTGTATCGTGTCTACTCTGACATCATGGGACCTATGCCCGTCCCTTCCAATAACGGATCTCGCTACATTCTTACTTTTATTGACTGTTGTACTCGGTATACCAAAATATACCTTCTCAAAAAGAAATCCGACACTCTGTCTTGCTTTAAGGATTATGTAAATAATGTTGAGAATCTCATGTCCAGTTCTCAATATAAAGTCTCTTTTCTACACACTGACCGAGGTGGAGAATACAACTCAAATGAATTCAAAATCTACACTAAATCAAAGGGCATCTCCCTCGAGCAAGCTCCTGCTAACACTCCACAGCAGAATGGTGTAGCTGAAAGATACAACAGAACATTGATCCAAAAAGTACTGGCCATAATGAGTGCGGGACACCTCCCGAAATGGCTATGGGGAGAAGTTGCTGTTTCTGCAGCCACTCTAATCAACATTGCCCCCTCATCCACCCTTAATTCTGATACTCCACACCGTCTATGGTGGAATTTCAGCGACCCCAAAGGTTCTCACCACAAATTTGATTACTCGTACCTCAGAACCATCGGATGCAGAGCTTATGCTGTCATCAACAAGGAGAAACGCGACAAGCTGAATCCTAAAGCATCAGAATTGATCATGATTGGATACGACACTATATCCAAGGCCTACCGATTACTAGACCCATTCACCAAAAAGGTTATCACATCAAGAAATGCAGATTTCGACGAATCACATTTCCCGTATTCTGTGACACCCCAATCAGACAAACAGGCAGTATTCGATTTCGAATCAAGTGATGCCCTATTCAAATCCCTAAGCAATCACTCACCTGTCACAGAAAGTGACACAGACCCCCAGCACTCCAATCAAAGGGAAAGTCAATCCTCGCCACCGGACGGATCAAACAACCCACCTCCTCAATCATCAATCACCCCCACTCCAATAACCTCAGACACCAACACATCCATCGCTCTCTCCTGACCTTCCAGAAGTTGTGGAAGACCTGATTTTTACGGCAACCCGGTTGCGCACATGTCTCAACACAATCCGGACGAACCAACCTACCGCCAAGCAATGGCCTCTGAGGATCGCGAACAATGGATTGCTGCGATGCAGAATGAATTCAATTCCTTGGTACAGCACAACCTCGGTCAATTAGTCGAACTTCCTCCTGACGGACACCATATTGGAGGTATGTGGCGATTAAAAGTCAAACGCGACCAATTCGGCAAGATCATTAAATACAAGGCCCGCTGGGTTGCTTTCGGAAATCACCAAATTCCAGGGATCGATTTCGATCAAAACTACGCCTCAGTTGGAATATCAGACACTCTCCGCATCCTTCTCACCTTAACAGTCCATGAAGACTTGGAAATGGAGCAATTCGACATTGCCACGGCCTTCCTAAACGGACGAATGGAACATTCGGTCTACATCCAACAGGTGACTGGTTTTGAGGACTCAACTTACCCAAACCGTGTGATTCGTCTTGACCAATCTCTATACGGTACTCGACAGGCTCATCGTCAATTTAACGCGGACCTCAAGGAGAAACCAATTTCTCTCCAATTCGCCAGCACTTTCGACGACGATTCACTCTACATACGACGAGAAGGTGATAAGTTCGTATACATCCACATGCACGTCGACGATGGCCTTGTCTTCTCTAATTCCAAAGATATGCTCGCTCAATTCAAAAACGATTTCAAAAAGTGTTACTCTTTGAAATGGAATGAAAACCCGTCTCTTCACCTTGGTCTCAAAATCATCCGTGACCGCCCAAACCACCGCATTATGGTTTCCCAAGAACACTACCTAAAGGAGGTGCTCAAACGCTTCGAAATGCTCGATTCCAATGCAAACAGCACACCACTCCCTGCCAATGTTGCCCTCGAGAAAAGTACTCAGGTAGACAACACCTTACCTTACCAACAAGCTATTGGATGCCTTTCTTATGCCGCGATCTGCACCCGCCCTGACATTCAATACGCCGTCAACTATCTTGCTCGTTTCTCGTCCTGCTACGATCGAACTGACTGGACTGCTGCCAAACACCTTCTCCGATACGTCAAAGGAACTATTGACAGAGGAATTGTGTTCGCAAGAAATGACGAAATTCCCAGATCCAAGTTAACCGCCTATACTG